ATTACTGTTTTTCTTCTATGCTTTGTTGGCCAGATTTAAGGATTTTTGTCTTCTCTTAAACTGTTCATAGTTTGATCTATCTACTATTTGAGCTGAATCCTAACCTCTCCCCTGGCTTTAAGTCTTCAGCAAATTTCTCTTAACATTTTTTGATGTTGATCTATTAAAACTAAAATTGTTTTTCTTCAAACCAAAAAAATGCATTAAGAAATATCTATTTAATGACTGTTGTAAGCTACACAGCTTCAGCTAGGTGTAAGTTATAGTATGTTCATTCTACTCACTCAGGCTTATGCCTAAAGTCAGACATGTGTTCATGGATGTGTATATATCAGCTACACTTGCTATTGAAAGTATTTAGATTAATTAAGATCTTTAGTGAATTAATAAAATATGAAAAAGGGGGGCATGGAAAGCAACTGTAGATACCAGAAACAGTATAAAAAAAGGTGGGAAATGGCAGAGAAATAGGGAAACAAGGGGTGAAGAGAAATATATAAGAAACAAGATATATAAGAAACAAGAAATGAAAAATTATTTGTTGATAACATGTATGGTAATATCCTTGATTGAGCCAATATACACAATGTATTCTGGATGGAAAATCTCATTTTGTATACTATAATGATGCACAGTGAATGAATGCAAATAAATAAATTTAACATTTTAAAAGGAAAGAATAAATGTACAAATTTTGTTATTTTTTCACAACTTCTAGAAACATGTTTTGTCTGATCAAGCCATACTTATATATTTGGGTTGGACAAATAAAACTCTAAAAAGTCATATGTAATATTACTTCTAGGATGAATTCTATTTCTGAAGTATATTAAGATGAAACTCTTCCAAGATATGTAACAGAGATTTTATAAATTAGGTTGGATTTTTAATTACTACTTTTAAATTTCCTAAAAAATATTTAGAAAAAGATAATTTTGCTGATCTAGAAGTAACAAATTTTCATTTTCAAAAAGTAAAATTAGAGTCAGTCTGGTAGCATGATAGTTAGGGTGGCTGGATTCACGTGGCCAACTATGTGGTTCAAGTCCAGACCCAGCGACCCAAAAATCCTAAGGGGAGACTGGAGAAGGGATCGCGGTGTGGCCATTACCCCGGGAGGTGATTTTTCACTTCCTCTCTCTCTCTCTGTGTCTCTCTCTCTCTGGCAAGCGTATATACATGCACTAAGGTAAACTAGAAAAAAAGTAAAATTAGCATCCCACCCCATGGGCTGATAATTAAGGAAGCAGCATCGCACATGGCTGACAACATGGTTTGAACTCCAATCCTAGAGACTTGAAAAACACACTGGGTGTTAGGGGCCAGTATGTGGTGTGGCGTTAAAGGCACTGGACTCCCACATGTATGACCACAGTTCGAGTCCTAGACCTGGTGACTTGGTTTTTCGCTTTCCCTTTCTTTCTCTGTTTCTATCTGGTCAAATAAAAATAAATAAAATGACTACAAATTAAATAAGTAATTATTAAAAAAAAATAAAAAAGAAAGGAAGGAAGGAAGAGAGGAAAACACATTGGGCTTATAAGTGTGGGTACTCAAAAATCCCAAAAGGATGGAGAAATGGAAAAAGGATTGAAGTGTGACCATACTCTCCGTAAAGGGTGCTTTCTTCTCTATGTCCCTCTCTCCCTGTCTCTTTATGTCTCTCTGGCAAGCAAGTGCACCCTCCGGCAAAAAATAAAACACTCGCACACACACACAAAACAAAAGAAAAAGTAAAATTGGATATCTATTCCTTACTTTCAAATGGTTCAGAAAAACATAATCATATATACAAATACACATACACATATGGAGAGAGAGACACATACATATATACACCCATATTTATACATATATGGAGAGAGAAAATAAGGCATAATCTTAATAACACTTGAGGTATCTGATTAAAGGTATTCAAGGAACTATGTATTATCCTTGAAACTTCACTAAGTTTGAACTTATTTCAATGTAAAGGTTAACAACTTAGTATCCTTTTACCATTTAATTATTTGAGTAAATGGTGATTTTTTTTTTTTTTAAGATTTTTACCACAGGGCACATGTGTTCACTGGAGAGAGAGAGATGGAAAGTGAGAAATCATTCCCTCAAGGGATTGGCCACACTGCAATCCCTTCTCTTCCATTCTCCTCTCAGGATTTTGGGCATGCATGAACACATACCCAGAGTTATTTTCAAACCACCAAGTCCAGGACTCAAACCACAGTTGGCCATGTGGGAATCCAGCACCCTAACCAACATGCTACCTGTCTCCTTTACTATTAAAGGAACTCAGTAATCTTAACAAAGGAACTTATCTCAGGCTGTTGTTTCAAAACATCCACTGAATGGCTGAAACAACAAACATCTATTTCTCACTGTCTGACTGTATGCTGGAAGTCTGAGATCAGAATACCAGATAGTCAAGGTCCTAGCTGAGAGGTCTCTTCCTTTTGTGCAGATGAAGGCTTCTTGTTATGGCTTTGCATGGCAAAGACAGACAGACAGACAGATTTCATGTCTCTTCTAATCCCATCATGAGAGTTCTACCTTTATGACCTAATTACCTCCCAAAGCCACATCTTCACATATCAGCAAACTGGGGTGAGGGCTCCAAAAGGAATTTTGTGAGGGGAACCAGCAGTTAGTGTAATGGCTATGTTGCTGGACTCCCACATAGTCAACCATGGTTCGCGTCCCAGACCCGGTGGCTTAAAACTCACACCGGGCGCGTGTGCGTGTGTGCCCAAGATCCCGAGAGGAGAACGGAGGAGAAGGGATTGCGGCATGACCATCCCCCCTGGGGGGTGATTTCTCGTTTTCCGTCTCTATGTCTCTCTCTGTCTGTCTGGCGAGCACACGCGTCCTATAGCAAAAACCTCTCCAAAAAAAAAAAAGGAATTTTGTAAGTGGAATATCCAGTCTAAAGCAACAATCTCAGTACAAATCTCACAAAATCAGAAAAATGACAGAAAAAAATAAGCCAAAAAAGATGAAAGAAGAAATTGTTCAAGATAAAAGCTCAAATTAATGAAATAAAAATAAACTATAATAACCATTTAATATACTCTAAAAGTTTTCACTATCTTTTTTTAATTACTACAGGGTGCATGAATTCACCAGACAGGTGGAGAGAGAGAGGGGGAAAGTGAGAAAGCACTCCCCAGGAGGATGCCATACCTCAACCCCTTCCTTCCATTCTCCTCGTGGGATCTGGGGGACACACACACACACACACACACACGCCTGAAGTGTTTTTCGAGCAGCCAGGTTAACTGTGTAGTCAGCTATGTGGGATCCAGTATCCTTAACCCACCATGCTACGGGCTGGTCCAAACCTCATACTTCTAAAAGCTCAATAAAATAGAGAAATCTCTTTTGAATCTATTCGTGTGTGTGTGTGTGTGTGTGTGTGTGTGTGTCTGTGTGTGTGTGTGTGTGTGTGTGAGAGAGAGAGAGAGAGATTAGAAACAAGAAATAATACATTTAGGAAAAATTAAAGAGCACATTTAGGAAAAATTAAAATAATTATTTAAGAATATATACAAGTATACAGCAAATATTCTGTTAATATAGAGGAAAAAGAAAATTATCTGAAGAAATAAATAAAAGTTATTAAAAAGTCATCCAGATAGAAGTAGAAAAAGCTTGAATAATTTCCACAGGAAGAGTTTTAAAGAAGGATTTAAAAGCTACCACTTTAATAAGTCCAGGACCACGTGGTTTCACCAATGAGTCCCACTTAATTTTTTTTTTTTGGAGAGGTTTTTTTTTTTCGCTATAAAGCGTGTGCACTCGCCAGACAGACAGACAGAGACAGACAGAAAGCAAGAAATCACCCCCCAGGGGGGATGGTCACGCTGCTATCCCTTCTCCTCCATTCTCCTCTCGGGATCTTGGGCGTGCACACACACACACCCGGCGTGAGTTTAAGCCGCCGGGTCCAGGACACGAACCGTGGTCAGCTACGTGGGAGTCCAGCGACATAGCCATTACGCTAACTGCTGGTCCCAAGTCTCACTTAATTTTTAAGGAGCGTGAAATTCCAATATTATTTAAACTATTCCAGGTCATAAAAAATATATTTAAAAGTCTCTCTAATTTATTTTATGAAGTTATCATTATTGTAGTACCCAAACCTGATAATGAAAGTACAAAAAACAGACATTATAATTGAAAGCTATTAAATAAATTATCAACTTCAGCAATATATCAAAACTTTCAGGGAGCTGTCCTGGTTACATAATGTTTAAGTGCCAGCACTGAGAACCAAATCCCATGTAGCTGACAGAAGTTCAAATCCAGGTCCCAGCAGCTTAAAAAACATACCAGGCTCGTGTGTATGTATGCCCCAAATCCTTACAAGATAAAGAAACAGAATGAGCTTGCAGCATGACACACCCCGGTGGAGGAGTGCCTTCTCACTCTCCACTTTCCCTCTCTTTGACAAGCACATGTATCCACAGGCAAAAAGAAGAAACTGGTCGTCTACTCAGTAGAGTTCATTCCAGGAACATAACAATAGACCAGTACTGGGAATTTATCATCACAATGAGAAAAAAAAAAAAGGAAGGATAAACCATACAAATATAATAATAAATAATAAATATGTCATTAAAAATCTAGTTATTTCTAATAAGAATTAGGTAATTCAGTAAACAAAAGTATTTAAATATGATAATACTTCTCAATGAAAAAATTAATACATATAGTAATAATCAATCTTAAGATTTCTCTGATTAAATGTCTGAGAACTCTTAATATACAAAATACCTAAACTACAGTGAAGTTTGGCAGTAGGGATTGAGAAGGACATCAAATTCAAAATTTTATATATATTTTTAAAGACATACACATAAGCATATACATGTCTATGCACACATATCACAAATATAAATACAACCAAATGCATATGTATAAATGTACATATATCCCTTTGCAAAAACATTCACAGCATACATGATTATATAACTGCAGCATTCTCCATTAAGACACTAGTTTACCTGTTTGGGAAGTCGGAACAAGGAATTCTTATAGAAAATGTCCTTAGCCTGGCTCCAGGTGCCATCAATGATGATGATTGTGGAGGGGTAAACAGGAGAATCTAACAGAAATTCTTCCAAATTAGCGGCTTCGGCCCCTGGATATAATATTAATGTACCAGACTTCCGGCAAATAGTTGCAAGTTCAGGATCTCTAAAAAAATTTTTTAAAAATATATCTTTATTAGCTTGTATGGGGGAAGTTATTACGTTTAGTGAATTTTGTAATAAAAGTTCTACCTACTCATTTGTTTAGTCAGATAGAATTAGTTTCCAAAGTATGAATTAAAAGACTCAAAATTTTATGGACTCTTTATTAATCCATTAGCCACAATTCTGCCACCCTCTTCCTCTAGGCTTCTCGATCTTCATTACTTTTCTCCATTTGGCTTTTTATATATTTGCCAATTATGCCATCACTATAACCTTCCCAAAGAAGTCTCCCTTTTTTCTTCTACTTCATTTGTAAATTGATCCACTGGACTGCCTAACACTCCCAGCACAAACCTAGTACACTAGAAGAACCACAGGAAGTTTGCAGAGGCTCTGTACAAACCAGATTCTCAAGGTCACCTTAGATTTCCTACCCAGTCCAATTACAAGGTTAACTGACTCAACAGTCATTCAGGCATCTGTGCCAAGGTATTTTGGCACTTGAGATGTAACAATGAGATAGCCTCCACCCAAAAGTAAAAACAAACAAACAAAAAATTCAACAAAAAGCATTCTTTTTATTTTAGAGAGAGACCGTTTGCTATACTGGCATTTAGGCTAATCAGAAAGGCAGACAAAAAGTAAGAAATCATAACACACACACACACCCCTAGAGGGGATGGCTACACCGCAATCCCATCTCCTTCATTCTCCTCTTGGGATTTTGGGCATGCATGCACACACGCCCGGGGTGAATTTTAAGCTGCTGGGTCCGGGACTCAAACCCACAGTGGACTTACATGGGAGTCCAGCAATTCAACCATCACACCATCTGATGGTCCCACAGAAAATACTCCTGATGAGAAAGGAGACAATTCAGAGTCAATAAAAGATCGTATGATAGGGGGACCAGCAGTTAGCATAATGGCTATGTCCCTGAACTCCCATGTAGCCGAAGACGGTTCGAGTCCTGGACCTGGTAGCTTAAACTCACTCCAGGAACATGTGCGTGCGTACCCAAGATCCCAAGAGGAGAATGGAGGAGAAGGGATTGTGGCATGACCATCGCCCCCCCCACCAGGGTGGGTGATTTCTCGCTTTCTATCTCTCTGTCTCTCTGTCTCTGCCTTTCTGGCGAGCACAAGCACCCTATAGCAAAAACCTCTCCAGCGCACACAAACACCCCTAAAGCAAAAACCCTCCCAAAAAAAAAAAAAAAAAAAAGATAGTATGATAGGGCCAGCCAGCAGGTGGCACTGAGGTTAAGGAGGCTCAATCCCACATGGCAGACTGAGTGGTTGAAGTCCTGGACCAGGCATACCTGGTGTGTACGCATTCGTGCCCAGAATCCCAGCAGGAGAGTGGAGGAGAAGGGACTGCAGCATGGCACCTCCCTGGTTCACTTTCCCCCTCTCTCTGATCAGTGCATGCACCCTACAGTGAACTAAGAAAAAAAAGATAATATAATAATTTGGACTTCTAGTTTCAGCTCAGATATACAAAGAGCTTGAAAGTCATCATGCCCATCCTTACAAGAAGAATGCTAGCAAGCTGAAAACATACCATTTTTCATAGGTCCATCAGAGAATTGCGGCCACCAGAAAAAAAAAAAATTCAAAATCTAGATAGGAAGGCAAAAAGAGAGACTGACAGATAGATCAGTCTACTCGTGCACAGACCCACTAAAGCCAGTAACTGACAGAATGTGTAAGCAGTCGCTGATAAATTACTACAGCTTGAGTACAGGCTACATTCAAAGTTCAGAGTAGGAGTCCAGTCTTGGAGAACTCCACACTTTCATGTGTTTTACAGTCAAGAACTGCACCACATCTCACAGTGAAGATAGAGAAAACTCCTGTGCAAAAAGTATCCATCTTGAAATAAGCCCTCCAAAACAATGACATTCTTTTAATGTCGTTTGCCACACCTTTCCACCTAATGGGTTGTCGGAAAAGGCATGACATATTTTTTCTATGTAAAAATTTGTATATTGTTTGGGTGTAAAAGGGAATTAAGTACTAAGACTTGTACAACATGGAACCTTGAAGACATGATGCTAAATCAAAGAAGCCAGGCATAAAAATCTACATATATGATTCCGTTTACAGAAAATGTTAGATAAATGAGAATATCAAGTAGTCAAATCCACAGACAGAAAGCAGAGTAGTATTTGCTAAGGGCTCGGGAGACCCAGTGGAGGGATAGGGATGGGTAGGCCATATCTGATGGCACAGGGGCTCCTTGTGAGGCAATGGACTGCTCTACACTGACTGTGGGATGACTGTGAATACCTTTGAATATACTAAACATGACCGAATTTGCGCATTTAAAATTGGTAAGTCAAATGGTGTATAAATTTTATCTCAGTAAACCTGTTTTTAAAAAAGAAAATAGAAAAAAATAGGCCATAATAACACTAACCAGAATATAAGTGCGGTAGTTATATTAATTATAGGCAAAGCAGACTTCAGAACAAGAAAAAATTACAAAGAATGGAAAGAGGCTTTACATAGTGAGAAAAGGTCAATACACTAAGAAGACATAATAATCTTTAATATCATGTACTTAACAACGGCTGCGGTGTCAAAATATGTGAGACAAAAACTAACAGAACTAAAAGGAAAAACAGACAAATCCAGTAGTACAGTTGGCAACTTCAACAGAATTTTGTCAATAACTGGTACTTGAAGAAGGCAGAAAATCAATAAGGATATAGTTAGCTTGAACAGAACAATCAATCAACGTGGTCCAACTGACATTTATAGAGTATTCCATCCAATGAAAGAATATACATTCTTCTGAGTTTATGTGAGACAGTAACCAAGACAGACTACATTCTGGGCCATAAAGTACACCTTAGCAAATTTAAAAGAACAGAAATTATACAAAGTATGCTCTCAGACTACGAGGGAATTACATTAGAAATTAGAAGTAAAAGGTAGCTACAAACTGAAAAATAAACACACATCTAAATAAACCATAGGTCAAAAATAGTCTCATAAATTTTAAAATATTGTCTAACTAAGTGAAAATGAAAATAAAACTCACAACATGTGCGGGATGCAGTGAAACCAACTGTATGTTTATACATACATTTATAGCATTAAAATGCACATATTATGAAAAAAGGAAAGATCTGAAATCAATAGCCTAAGCTTCCTCCTTGAAACAACAAAAACCTGAAAAAGAAAACCAATTTATGCGTAAAGCAAGCTAAAAGAGAGAGAGAGAGAAATAGTAAAATTAAAAATGGGAATCAATGAAGTTGAAAACAGAAAACCATAGAGAAAGATAAATAAGAACCAAACGCTGGTTATTATGTATTAAACTGGGTCTCACCAAATTTCCTATGTTGAAGTCCTAACTCCTGCTATCTCAAAACATGACTGCATTCGAAGATAGTCAAGTTGCCTTCCAAGAGTTAAGTTCGAATGAGGCCATAAGGATAGACCCTAATCTAATCTGATGATTTACGTAAGAGGAAAGTGGACATACAAGAGAAACATCAAGGGCACCTGCTCAGAGGGATGGCCACATAAAGAGGCGTGAGAGGACAGCCATCTGCAAGCCAAGAAGAGAGGCCTTGGGGAAAACCAAATCCGCTGACATCATGTTGAACTTCCATCCTCCAGAACTGTGGGGAAATTTTCTTTCTGGCCACCCAGTATACAAGATTTTGTTATGGAAGCCCTAGCAAATTAATGCCCTCATTCTTTGAAAAGATCAATTAATGAGTAAAACTACAGTCAGGATAATCAAGAATAAAAGAGAAAAGACACAATTACCAACATAAGAAATGAAAGAGGAGTGGTCACTACTGATACTACAGGCATAAAAAATAACGGGAAACAGGTGTGCAGTGCATTGCTGGCACTACTGGGTCCACACGAGAGGGGTCCTAAGTTCATATCCTGGGATCTCCCCGGATGGGCTGGGTGCACACATGCACCTGTGATCCAGGCCGGATGAGACTGGGGGTAGATCACTGTGGGGGCCTGTCACAAGTTCTCTCTCTCCCCCTTTCTCTTTCTCTCTCATAGAAGAAATATAAACACATAAAAATAAAAATAAATAAATAATTTTTAAAATTATAAAAGATTACTACTATACAAAAAGCCTCTCAGGGCCCACAAATTTTATAATTTAGATTAAAATTAACCAATTCCTTGAATGACATAATTTCTCACACAAAGAGAAATAAGAAAACTAATAAGCCCTGTATCTATTGATATTAGAGAAATTGAATCAATAATTAATAATCTTCCAAAAAAGAAACCACCAGGCCCAAAATGACTGCATTAGTGAATTTTCTAAAACATTTAAGAAAAAATTACATCAATTCTCTACTCATGCTGTAAGACCATTATTACACTAAAATTTAAACCAAATCAAGATATAAAGAGAAAACTACACACCGAAATATCTCATGAACTAAGATGTAAAAATCATCAACAAAAGATTAGCAAATTAAATCCAACAATGCATAAGAAGAATTATCTACGATGACTAAACAGAATTTACCCCAGATGTGGAGGGTTAGCGTAATAGTCAAAATCAATAAATAAAATCAACCATATCAATGGACTAAAGAAGGAAAAACATCATAGGACTCTATCAAATGACACAAAAAATACATTTGACAAAATCCAACATTAATAATAAAAATCCTCGGGACCAGCAGATAGCATAATGGCTATGTCGCTGAACTCCTATGTAGTCGACCGCAGTTCAAGTCCTGGACCCAGTGGCTTCAACTCACGCTGGGCACGTGTGCGTGCGTGCCCAAGATCCTGAGAGGAGAATGGAGGAGAAGGGATTGCAGCATGGCCATCCCCCCAGTGGGTGATTTCTCGCTTTCTGGCTGTCTGTCTCTGTCTCTGGTGAGCCCACATGCCTTGTAGCAAAAACCTCTCAATAAATAAAGAAATAAATAAAAACCCTCAGGAAACTAGAAATACAGTGGAAACCTTATCAGTTTGATAAAAAATATCTACTAAATAT